GTTTCTCGAAGGTCCCGAAAAGTTTTCGTACCCGGAAAGCCGTAGCAAAATCTCAAACCTTATGATTACACAGCTGTTTTACTCCTGTATTCTTAATATGAACAGAGGTTCCGGCTTCGTACAAGGAGTTTCAGGCATATGCACCTGTCTGTCTTTACTGATAAAGATTAATTAAAAATGGCTTTACGGGCCCGAAAAAATTCTGGGGCTTTCGAGAAACGGCCCCCTGAATAGAAAGCCTGCCTGTTATTTTTGTTTTCAGATGTATCTTACTATTACAAATTTAATGTGGGCTAAGGGTGCAATGTCATTTTCTCTTGCTTTGAATAAGCCTAATCATCCGCACTTTGATGATGGATCAATACCACTTTTCTTGATTCTACAATAAACACATATTTTAGCTGATACAATTCTAAGGATCACAGTAGTACTGCGGAGGATGCTAACAGTGACAAAAATGATATCCTATTTAAGGATCGGAAATCTCAAAAACCATGTCCTATCCCGTGGCAATACCTATATAGCTAACAAATGGGAGTCCCCACACGGGGGAGGAAGATTGCTTGGCATGGAGATTGCGTGACGAGCCCAGAGAGCTTCCCCAAGCTTCCCAAAGAGCGTTTGCGTTGGAGGCTGTCTTCGTAGCAAGAGAGCACACTGGCAAGAGTTTCAATGGGGAAAAAATTCCATTTGCCCGAAAGCTCAAGGATGAAATGGAAACCAAAACCATGCGCTGTCTTAAATAATCGGACAGCTCAGGAACAATGACTCGGCGGAAGTTGAAATTTGCAAACAAAATTGAATTACCCCATTTTCAAAAAAACTTAATTAATCTCGCGTCAAAAAACACCTCCAGAAACTGCATTTTATCGTTTAGTTAATAATTGTATAGAGAACGGCACAGAGTTAAACAAAATGGCTTGTAGACAGCTCATCACGACGTCCATCTGTATTCGAACCTTCGGATGTCAGTTTGGCAAGGAACATAATCCCGACCCTATCAGATTTTTCCTCGTTCATCACTCATAATGAAAGACGTCAAAATAGACTCAGCAGTGCTGATCCGGCGACTGAAGGGAAAAGAGTTACGAATCGAATACTGAACTGCGTAGAAATACACTTTGACTTACGCAGAGAGAAGTTATTATGGGAATCTTTTACGGTATAGTGCTGTGGACAGTTGTATTCTGCCAGTACACGTGGTCACAAGAAGGTAAGAACATATTGTTCTCACTGCATGAACCTAAACGAACAAGGGAAGTGTTATGTTTCGTTTTTTGTACAGCCCGTTCACACAACAAGAGTAGCTTCTGAAACTGACGCAAATCGAACAATACTTCTTATAACCGTTTTTAGCTTTAAATTATAGAGCAACAACGAATTACGAAACAATGTCAATGCATAATAAATTTAAAGTTTGCGAAAGTACCCGGCAAAATAATACGTCAATACTTTTGAATTACTTCAACGTTGAATCTGTAAGAATTTTATTTATCAATCAGTGATTTATTAATTTTGCTGCTGTTAAATCGAAAGTGGATAAAATGATTTAGCGCATGAATAAACTTTAGGAGTCTGAGGTCCAGTCCACACTACGCCGGAGGAATTTAAACACGCAACAATAACCGGCCATTTTGGATTTGTGTTTGAGGAAAACTCGGGCATAGAAACAACATTACTATCCTGATGTCATCGCTTTTGAAATTAAAAGACCCGTTTTCAAAATGTTTTTCGTCCAAACTAAAACGCAAGGCCGGCGTTTTCAAATTCCTCCGGTATAAAAAGCGTTTTCGAAAAAAACCGTTTTCTTGACGGATTAGTGTGAACGGTGGGCCTACTGTGGAATTAAAGCTGCGTTTTCAAATTCCTCCGGCGTAGCGTGGACGAGGCCTGAGTAAAAGATATGAAATGACGGGAAATCTAAGTGTAGCAAAAACAGACTGATAATTAAAGGCCATAGCAAAAATAGTACTTAGGTGAAGCTGGCGATGAGTTCTCTAGACTTCCTTTAGCGGACTGAGGGAGCCTGTTGTAATACGAGCTAAAACGCCCAGATGTCATCGAACATAAGGTGCGGCAGGAACTTTACAGAGGAATATTATTGTAGAGAACGGGGAAAATACGACAGGACGCTACTGTAAAATAACTTCTATAGTAAAAAGAAAATTCCTATTCGTCGCTTATCTATGACGTTACGATACAGTAACCTATGCCTTATCAATGCACACCAGCAAACCATGGGTTGAGGAAAATAAGAGGAGAATCAGGACTTGGACTCGCACGCAGTTTCGTTCCCTTCGATTGTGCTTCTGGAAATGAACGCCTAGTACGCAGGCTAAAGTTTACACAGTCCGTTTTGATAACGTACAACTAACTTGCCTTCCAGGTCCAGGATGAATTTTCATTCGATTGTTACGGTACAGTTTGAATCTGGTATATACTGCAAATGTATTTTATGACTCAACTACCAATCAGAAACAAGATACACGACACCGCGTGTATTATAGTTACAGGAAACATTTATGAAGAACTCAGAAAGCCGGGAGAAACTTAGAGCCTTAAAAAGAAAACATACAGCTTGTGCATTTCTGTCGTTGGTTCTTATCTTTTACCCCAAGAAACCCAAGCCAGGCTTTTCTTAAAAATTCTAGATATTGACGAGTGTGCAGAGAGACAGTCCGACTGTCATGCGAACGCTACGTCCAAGAATAGTGTGAGCTCATTTGCATGTTCATGTAATGCGGCCTCTATTGGTGCTTTGGTAAATGTTGGCACTTGCTATAGATTTATTTACTTGTCCCGGCTATGAAGTGTCTTGTTCCCATATTTCTCTCAAAACGGAAGTGTCGATGTCTGTAAACTGACCCTGAAGGAGTTCGGGGTAGGTAAAATAAGTAAAATGGCTGTTTCTCAGTGACGGAATTTGAGAATATGTCTCCTCTAAAGCATATCGTTGATACGATATCGATAGGGAATATAGTCGACTGATCAACCGCTACGAGAGCTGTCGAATATCGTATACGTTCAGAGGTACATTATATCGCATATTAGACACCACTCAAAACGGTTCTAAATGTTTTGTTACATAGCAAACTGCAAGAATCCGGGAGTTCCAAGAAATGGCGCACGGTTAGGCATCAATTTTGGACACAATCAGTCAGTAACCTTCGTGTGCAAAGAAAACTACACGTTGATTGGTCGCGAGGCAATGGTCTGTCGAAACGGAAATTGGAGTTCATCTCTTCCTCAGTGCAAAAGTAAGTTAATACGAATTGTTTATTATTTAGGCAGTTACTTTTTTCAACAAATAAAGAAGCCTCAACTGTGCTCTGTTCTGTTGTAAAGTACGCAGGAAGCGGTAGAGCACGAAAGACGTGTAGGGGAAAACACGAGACGTAGTCAAGTGTTTTTCCCTACGTCTTGAGTGCTCTACCGCTTCCTAAGTGTTTTACAACAGAACAGAGCACAGTCGAGTCTTCTATATTTTTTTTATGATAAAGAATCCAATAATTTCCCCACGCATTCGGCTGAATTTTCAAACCAAACTTTATTTTCCAAACCAGTAAAAGTGGCGTCAGCGGTGCTCTGTTCTCATGTTTATATGGGACGAAGATTTGACGATGAAGGTCTAAATTTATTGCAATAGGCTCTATTGCTAAATATTGTCCTGGAATCCATCCTTTTCTATGGAACAATGGAATAAAAGGGGGAACATATTTAAGCATCCCTTTATATCTCTCTGATTTCAGCAATAAATTTATCCAAAACACTTTTTCTATATTATTTTTTTAGCAAATTGCAAGGATCCAGGAATTCCAAGAAATGGCGCACGGACAGGTGATAATTTTGAACACGGTCAAACGGTTAGCTTCGCGTGCAATAATGGCTACACGTTGATTGGTAGCAAGTCAATGGTCTGTCGGAAAGGAGTTTGGAGTTCATCTCTGCCCCAATGTAAAAGTAAGTGCACATACTTTTAAGTTACAACATTGATCCCGGAACATAAGTCCTGTCTTTATTTCTTGGAACTAGCCCTTATTTTTACCTGAACCTCATCAATGGATTTAAGCTGTTTGTAAATGCTAGTTCAAGAAATACTCTTGCTTGCGAGAGAAAACAAAATGAAAATTAAAATACACGCGAAATCATTCACTTAGCTGATAACCCTGAACTTGTAGACATCTATTTGAAATTTTCGGGTCCCGCTCCGATCCTGGTAATCCACAGAGCGGGCGCAGAATAGGCTTGGATTTCCGGCATGGCAAGAAAGTCTCCTTTACTTGCCAAGGCAATTTTAAATTGACTGGCACTGTCCGCATCACTTGCCTCGACGGAACATGGAGTGACAAAGTTTCCATATGCAAAGGTAACATCGAGGTATAACACGGGACGAATAATTTCAATAATATTGATATCGATCATGAGACTATGGGGAGACTATGGAGACTGCAGGGAGACTATAAACTGGATCATGTCAGGTTCTAGCGCTAGGTCAAATTTTACTAGTCTTACGCTCATAAAACGCCCGACAACTGTCAAACCCTCTTGTGACTAGCGCTAAGTATTAATTCTGTTTTCGAATTCAGTTTTCATCCTATGGATCTAAGGGCTTGATAGCTTATTATACAAGTGCTTGAGTGAAGAGTCTGAAGTTGTTTAAACCCTGGATACATGATGCATGCAACGGTATCTTCTCGGCATTTTGTCCACTGGTTTCTAGAATTTCTAGAATTCACCAGTACCAGACAACTGAAAACAAAGCGGCATTAATTGCGAGAGGAAAGTACCATATTTCGGGAAAGCCTGGGCTTGATCTTTGGAACTCTACGTCCAGCACTTGCTCATAATTAAATCAATGCGGCATCATCTTGTAAAATTGTAAACCTGAACTTTACATCTCATTCAAACGTGTTCTGAAGCGCTTAAAAAGAATTTCGTGTGAATCATTTTTGTTTTTAAACGAAAAATCCTTAGGTTTTAGTCGTAATTCAAATTATAAAGACCACCTCTTCCGGGTCCTCTGATGTCGTTTTTTCTTGCTGTGTTCACTGAGCTCTAAATTAAATCTTTTTCCATCTTAGCATCTTGTGAAGACCCAGGATCGCCTCAAAATGGTGTTAGACATGGAAACGAGTTCGGGCACAACAAGCGTATCTCCTTCACATGTCTTCCGGGATTTCAGCGGATTGGAAGTTCGACAGCATTGTGCATTAGTGGAAAGTGGAGTGCTTCTCTTCCTCAGTGTAAAGGTAAATCAGTTTGGTGTTTGGTGTTAAATTCAACTTAACAAAGTTGCTAAACAGTAATTTTGTTCAAAGCTGTTTGCCTGGATCCTGGTATTCCAGTAAATGGAAACAGAATCGACGATGATTTCCTCGATGGACAGACTGTGGCATTCGGATGTCAACCAGGCCACACGCTGATTGGGTCGCAGGTTCTACGATGCGTGGCAGGAAAATGGGATAATGACTTACCAGAGTGTAAAGGTTAGTTTTGAGGGATTTTATCAGAGAAGAAAATTCAAAAGAAAGAGGTACCAAAATACAGAGATTACAACTGAACCTGAAGACCTGAGAAGCCTGGAGATCGTAATCTTTGCTAGGTTTAAGAAGAAACACATTGGGCGCTTTCCATTCGACCAAAATTTCCGAAATTTTCGAAATGGGGACAAATGGTACAGAAATTTCCAGGGAAAAGTTCCAGAAAATCCGGAAATTGTTGAATTTCCGAAAAGCGAACCATTCAATCGAAAATTCTGGAATTTCCGGGAAGAAAATCAAATGGAACGGAAATTTCCAGGGAAATATGTTCGAAAATTTGGGTATACCTCATGAGGTTGTCCTCTTTTTCGGAGCTGTACCTCGTGCCAGGGAATAACGGTGTCCCCAGAGATATCTCTAAAATAATAACGATGAACACTGTTATATTTTCTTTCTCAGCAAAAAGTTGTGGAAACCCTGGGATCCCTGAAAACGGCAAGCTGAAGTCTTACATCTTTACCTTCAAAAGCAGAGTCGATTTTGATTGTAATCGTGGCTACAAACTGGTCGGAGACAAGTACCGGCAATGCCAAGCGAACCAGAGGTGGACTGGGAGGTCGCCAACCTGTGAACGTAAATACATTGACGTTGATGTTACTTTACAGCGTTCAAGGTCAAAGTGATAGAGTCGTCAGCGTGGCTAGTCTAACCTCATTTTTTTTTTTGCGTGTGTGTTTTCAATTTATTTCATTTTGTCTATAGTTGCAAAAAAACAACATTTCTACGGTATTTTGTTGTCGCTGCTGCTGCTGATGTTGTTATTTTGAAAGTTACAAGAAAATCAATCTTATTTTGTCTTTTGTTGTGCCTTGAAAGAGATTTTTTACGCAAAATTATAGTAATTTTAAGCTAGTTAAACGAATAACTCCTGTTTACAAGTAACTAATTCTGTAATATAAAAATTTGTACGTTTAATTCTGTCTCTTATTTTTTCCCCCCAAGAAATTGACTGTGGAGTGCTACCAACCCCTGATAAGGCTGAAAAAATTCTCGAAACCCACACCAAAGTCGATGGTGTCGCCAGGTTTAAGTGTAAGGAGACAGGTTACGAGATCAGTGGCTCAGAGATCCGGACTTGTGGCAATAATGGGTTGTGGAGTGGATCTCCAACATCTTGTAACAGTAAGTAGGAAATATATTTATATATTAACAAGTGTTATTTTCTTTCATCAATATCTGCATTTACCATAAGACATTATACAGGTTAACTTTTATTGAGATAATACATTGTTCGTTGTTAGTCTGACGCAGTGCTTTCGTTTCGCCCCAGCCAAGGACCTTTCTGCTTGGAAACTTGTTGAGCATTGCGAGTTTGCCAAGCAGAAATATCTCTGAAGACTCCCTTGACCGGGGCGAATCAAAGTGCTGCGTTAGACTAGCCACCAAATGTATTATCACAAGTAACTGTTAACGTTTATTGTCAACTTTTATTGTACGTGAGTAAAGGAGCTTAAAGGTGCCCCTCGTTGGTGCTCAGTACCAATGTCATGACTACGCTACGAGTTTCGGTGATTTACAACCCAACGTAATACGTGCACGAAATTGTACCTATGCATGAAAGCGAATGAATATCGAAGGTGTCAATTTCTGTGACAACAGGCCATGTCAGTGACTTTTTGTACAAGTCTCTCCATGTTACCAACTTATCTCTTCACAGTCGTAAGTTGTGGTGATCCAGGTACTCCTCTAAACGGTCAACAAGCTGACGTGAAAAATGGTTACAACTATGGTGGTTCAGTGAAATTTACTTGTAAAGATAACTACACGCTGTCAGGAAAAAGCGAGATCGTTTGCGAAGAAACGAAAGATTGGAGTTCGCCAACACCAAAATGCTGGGGTGAGTCAAAACGGACCTTAGATTGCTTTGGGTTCATTAATGGGGTTGAAGGAATCATCCGCCGTAAAGCTTCATTGCCGGCACGCAAAAAGACATTAGGATATAAGTACAAATGGATGACTAACCAGGGTTAGAAGTAATGCAAACAACTAAAATGGCTATCTGGTTAAAAGTTACCAGAGTAAGTGACTCATTTTTATCAACACTTTTAACACTTTTAACACTCATAATACATTCGTACCTTCCGTACTATTTGTCGAAGCTGTAGCCTGATAGCCGAAAGCTTATTTTTAGAAAACTTTTAACCATAGAGTTTATATTTTCAATACCTAGCGTATGGCCAATTAAACGCGATTGGATTGAGCTTTAGCTCTTTGCTAGCACAGATATAGTAATCTCAAGTTTAATTCAAAGAGACAACGGTTTTGGTGGTGGGGTCTGCACAGCTTGCGCTCCGACGTCTTTAAACTTATTGCTTGTTTTTTACCGACAACACTTAAAAAGACCAAGTATTGACGTTCAATATATAATGCAATTTTAGCTCCATGTCCTGATCCCGGAGTGCCAGGCAATGGAAACAGAAGCGGAGATGACTTTATACACGCTAAATCGGTAACCTTTAGATGCAACGAGAATTATGAACTTGAAGGAGAAGCAACCATCAGCTGTAACAATGGAGGCTGGACAAGTAAAACACCCACGTGCAAAGGTGTGTACATCTAGAATGCAAATGGTTCTGCGAATAGTGTTGGAGCAATAAACAGCTATTTAACACACTTTGCACGTTAAACAAAAGCGAAACAAAATATTGTTTCAAGGTCAATGCATGAACCCAGTCTGCATTTGAGGCCAGAGTGCAACTACAATCTAGCTATAATTCTCACAGGCACATCCTATAAAAGGACGAAATACGATAAAAATACGCCTCGCTGTTTAAAGCCTAGATTATCACCTTCATGAGCATTTTGCTGCATTTTAAGCCAGGCTTCTATTTTTTACTCACCTTTTCCTTACAATCAAGTATAATATGTTTGGAGGTTCTTCAACTGAAGAATCAAGCATGGTCTGGTTCACAACACCTTATGTCTTTGGCTATTCCGCAATTATGTTTTTATTAAAAATGATACCATGTTTATCCATAGTTAATAGAGGGAAATGGTTAGGAAGGCCGGTAAATATCACAGAAGCAGACAAACAGGCTAAGATTTATGTTGGAAGGCCCTTGACCCTGCACATCTTTTGTATTGTATTAATTACTTTTCAGTTATTTCATGTAAAGATCCAGGAAGTCCTTTACATGGACGACAATCGAAAGTCAAAAAGAACTTTACTGTCGGCGGATTCGTGCGATTTAAGTGCAGTGAAAACTACACCATGGTGGGAAGCGGCAAACTAACTTGTCTCAAAAGCAAGAAGTGGAATAGAGAAATACCGGAGTGCTTAGGTAAACCTTTTGTAATAAATACAATCTCAACTGTGCAATTTGTTTTAACCCCTCTCATCCCGGAAATCAGTCTAAGGGTGGACTGTCCTTTCCTGAATTTAACCATTTACAACTTTGTCAATTTTGATTTAAAAACTTTGCGATTTAGTCGAAAATGTGTCTGTATACTATTTGGGATGGCATGATTTTATACAAGGAACTTGATATAACCATGACAATCCTATTTCAAATTGTGAATGTTTATTCTGGTGCTCTTTTATATAAACGTAGTAATCTTTTCATACTCTGATTCATTTTCATGTTTCACAGCATCCTGCCCTGATCTCGGTCATCCAGAAAATGGACAAACCATTGGAAGAGTTTTTAATCATACCTCAGTTGTCGAGTTTGAATGTTTAGGAGATCGTTTGTTACAAGGTTCCTCTCAGGCAAAATGCAACAATGGGCAGTGGGACCAAGCATTGCCAACATGCCGAGGTAACTTATTAACCAATGATAACTAAATGTACTTTTCTTTTCCCTCCAATATATGAACTTCTTTTGAATTTATTTACTTAAGAACCTGGTCATAAAAGGCGTCCAGACCCAGTGCTCCGTTACTCCCTGCTCAATAGCGTACTTCATACAATTTTGATTTGGAGTTTGAGTTAGAATTCCAAGTTAGAGCAAGCATTACAAGACTGACATTTTTGGTCTGATTTCAAAGAAGACTGTTCCCAAATCCTAGGAACGAATCTGCGCTTTTAATCGTATTTAAACCGTTTGTCAGCCAGTCCATTGATAATTATGAGATTTCGTGCACTTGCATTCAGTGATCCATCTGCACATCCATCTTTACGTTTTCCCGTCCATTGCTTTTTGTACGTTTATGTATGTGTTTCCTCAGACTTTGTCCTTGCGGAGCTCTACAATTGGATTATTCGATATAAACTCTTTCTTTAGCCTATCCCTGCAAATTAATCCGTTTCTCGCCTGTGTACAATAATGTGCCCTCTGACTGATCTCTTAGGTTACGTGCGCCTGTGTGATTAATTTGGCTTTGATTCTGCTATCATTCTGCTATCATTCTGCTATCATTCTAATGTCTTTGTCCTGGAGTTTTAGAAGCTCATGTTAGTGTTATTTAAATATTTAAGATTGTGGCACAGGGCTTCCTCTTGGAATGGAGAGTAGAATGATCCCAGACGCATCCATCAAAGCTTCCAGTCACAGAGTTCAACATCCAGCTCATCATGGCCGACTTGGTGGAGACAGCTATTGGTGCTCAGAGGAGGGAAAGGCTGATTTTATTCAGATTGACTTGCCAAAAAAATATAAGATTACTGGAGCAAGAATTCAACTCAAAAGCGAATACAAGATCAAAAGTATAATCTTGAAAGGCCAAATTTTCAAAACGTGGTTGAATTCCCATTATGAAAAGGTGAAACTTGCTTTATCATTTGTGGAAAACGGAAGCTATATAATTCTTAAATGAGAACGAGATAAATATAAACGAGAAAAAAGCGAATAAAAAACAACAACAACAACAGGACTAGACATTCTCGACTTTTCGAACTTTTACACGTCTAAACATCGTTGCTAAGTCATTTTAATCTTAAACGCCGACTCGTGCTCTATGTAATAGTTAAATAAACACGATAAATGAGAATAGCATATAACACATCAACTTTATTACAATATGGGACTTCGCGTCTACGTTAACTGAGAGGGAAGAAGGAAGGAAAAAGGGGAGGCAGGGAGTAGTGAAGAGAAATGGAGCCAAATGATAGTTGTAATCGAATGCTGCAAATTGTTTATCTTTGTAAAATCAATCCATTTTAAAGACATTGCAAAGAAATTTCAACAGAATTTTTACTTCTAATATGTGTATTTGGTTTTATCTGACAGCCACCTTATAGTAAAGAAGAGGAACAAATAAAAGCAATACATCCATTTATTGCTCAGTCTGTACGAATCAGAGTGTTAAAAGATGAGGAATCGATTTGTCTAAGGACCGAAGTCTATGGCTGTGGAATTCCCCAAGGTAAGAGTCTATAATTTATTGACGAAGACAAAGCCTTGTATATATGACCCTAAGGCCTTCTTTATCCTACGATCGCTTCACCAACTTTGATGGAAGTGCGGTGAAGCAATTAGGAGACCTGGTGGAAGTTTCAACATCGGCAGACTACTCGCTTTCACATTTGAGATATTTTGAGGGTACACACTGTTACATACATAACCCCTCCCCCTAAGCAAGCAATCCTTCCTTACAAACTATTAAACCTTGTTTCTAATACGTCAAGCCTTAAAACACGGTAGGATCACTAGGCTCATCGCATTTCTTACTCTTTGTAGGTTGTATTATGCGAGGCTCTGCTGTTCTTATCAAGGAAAACGGTAGATATCAGCGTGGATTTGTAGGAGAATACATCGATGTGGAGTATAACACGGAAGTCTTTCTTCCCGGGAAAACAGAGAGCGTAATAATGAAGAGGGCACACGTCATTCTAGATGAGAAACCAAACGTCCATGAATTAGCTATAGGAACCTTAGTCCTTGCAGAGGATGCAACTTCACCAGGCCAAATTAGAGAGGGCAAAATAGAACAAATATCAAATTCAGTTTGTACCATAAAAAGTAACCATGAAATTTGGAAGAGTGATTTAAACAAGATTCGTATCGTCAAAATACCAGATTTTTGCTCATAATAAATATTTTGTACTAATGCCACTGTGCCCAGGCTAACGGCAGGACTACTCGATGGCAAAATGTAGAGATTTATGAAGTCTGTTGTATAGACATGTCAGCGAAAACGCGATAGCGACAACATTAAAGATAAAGATCTTACAACAAAGAATTATGTCTAAAATGTAGAAAACTTGGCACATCTGTCTTTTATAATGCGGTTGGCATGGTAAGGTATAGTGGACATTCTTCTCCGTTCCCCTTCCCTCAAAGACTGATAAACAGCCACTGAACAATGTAGCCTAGGAAGGTACTTGGTTTTTGAATGGTTTCTAGCGCCGTGGCAGTTTTAACAGTATATTAGTGTAGCGAAGTCTCGTGTGACTTCTTTCCAGCACAGAAAACCTAAATGTACGAATACACAGCTACAGTTCAGAATTTTGAACCATTTGTGTGTGTATATATATATATATGTATCTATCTATCTATCTATCCATCCATCCATCCATCCATCCATCCATCCATCCATCCATCCATCCATCCATCCATCCATCCATCCATCCATCNACTGGATTGACACGTTGCGCTCGAGTAAAGAACCAATCACAAGCAGTTGCCTAGAACCCTGAAATTTATAAAGCGCAAATTTCTTTGTCATGATTTGAATGTAGTAGTAGAACGTTGTGATACAAGGGAGCGAAATTAATGAAATTCATACTTACAATTCCAGCTAGACTTATTACTTTTATGTTAGACATGTCTTCAATATTGTTTAAGGCTGTTTATATCGATTGTTAAATAAACTCTCTAAATAAATGTTCTTCCACATACCTCGTGCCAGGGAATAACGGTGTCCCCAGAGATATCTCTAAAATAACAACGATGAACACTGTTATATTTTCTTTCTCAGCAAAAAGTTGTGGAAACCCTGGGATCCCTGAAAACGGAAAGCTGAAGTCTTACATCTTTACCTTCAAAAGCAGAGTCGATTTTGATTGTAATCATGGTTACAAACTGGTCGGAGACAAGTACCGGCAATGCCAAGCGAACCAGAGGTGGACTGGGAGGTCGCCAACCTGTGAACGTAAATACATTGACGATGTTACTTTACAGCGTTCAAGGTCAAAGTGATAGAGTTGTCAGCGTGGCTAGTCTAACCTCATTTTTTTGCGTGTGTGTTTTGAATTTATTTCATTTTGCCTATAGTTGCAAAAAACATTTCTACGGTATTTTGTTGTCGCTGCTGCTGCTGATGTTGTTATTTTGAAAGTTACAAGAAAATCAATCTTATTTTGTTTTTTGTTGTATCTTGAAAGAGATTTTTACACAAAATTATAGTAATTTTAAGCTAGTTGAACGAATAACTCCTGTTTACAAGTAACTAATTCTGTAATATAAAATTTATACGTTTAATTCTGTCTCTTACTTTTTCCCCCCAAGAAATTGACTGTGGAGTGCTACCAACCCCTGATAAGGCTGAAAAAATTCTCGAAACCCACACGAAAGTCGATGGTGTCGTCAGGTTTAAGTGTAAGGAGACAGGTTACGAGATCAGTGGCTCAGAGATCCGGACTTGTGGCAATAATGGGTTGTGGAGTGGATCTCCAACATCTTGTAACAGTAAGTAGGAAATATATTTATATATTAACAAGTGTTATTTTCTTTCATCAATATCTGCATTTACCATAAGACATTATACAGGTTAACTTTTATTGAGATAATACATTGTTCGTTGTTAGTCTGACGCAGTGCTTTCGTTTCGCCCCAGCCAAGGACCTTTCTGCTTGGAAACTTGTTGAGCATTGCGAGTTTGCCAAGCAGAAATATCTCTGAAGACTCCCTTGACCGGGGCGAATCAAAGTGCTGCGTTAGACTAGCCACCAAATGTATTATCACAAGTAACTGTTAACGTTTATTGTCAACTTTTATTGTACGTGAGTAAAGGAGCTTAAAGGTGCCCCTCGTTGGTGCTCAGTACCAATGTCATGACTACGCTACGAGTTTCGGTGATTTACAACCCAACGTAATACGTGCACGAAATTGTATCTATGCATGAAAGCGAATGAATATCGAAGGTGGCCATTTCTACGACAACAGGCCGTGTCAGTGACTTTTTGTACAAGTCTCTCCATGTTACTAACTTATCTCTTCACAGTCATAAGTTGTGGTGATCCAGGTACTCCTCTAAACGGTCAACAAGCTGACGTGAAAAATGGTTACAACTATGGTGGTTCAGTGAAATTTACTTGTAAAGATAACTACACGCTGTCAGGAAAAAGCGAGATCGTTTGCGAAGAAACGAAAGATTGGAGTTCGCCAACACCAAAATGCTGGGGTGAGTCAAAACGGACCTTAGATTGCTTTGGGTTCATTAATGGGGTTGAAGGAATCATCCGCCGTAAAGCTTCATTGCCGGCACGCAAAAAGACATTAGGATATAAGTACAAATGGATGACTAACCAGGGTTAGAAGTAATGCAAACAACTAAAATGGCTATCTGGTTAAAAGTTACCAGAGTAAGTGACTCATTTTTATCAACACTTTTAACACTTTTAACACTCATAATACATTCGTACCTTCCGTACTATTTGTCGAAGCTGTAGCCTGATAGCCGAAAGCTTATTTTTAGAAAACTTTTAACCATAGAGTTTATATTTTCAATACCTAGCGTATGGCCAATTAAACGCGATTGGATTGAGCTTTAGCTCTTTGCTAGCACAGATATAGTAATCTCAAGTTTAATTCAAAGAGACAACGGTTTTGGTGGTGGGGTCTGCACAGCTTGCGCTCCGACGTCTTTAAACTTATTGCTTGTTTTTTACCGACAACACTTAAAAAGACCAAGTATTGACGTTCAATATATAATGCAATTTTAGCTCCATGTCCTGATCCCGGAGTGCCAGGCAATGGAAACAGAAGCGGAGATGACTTTATACACGCTAAATCGGTAACCTTTAGATGCAACGAGAATTATGAACTTGAAGGAGAAGCAACCATCAGCTGTAACAATGGAGGCTGGACAAGTAAAACACCCACGTGCAAAGGTGTGTACATCTAGAATGCAAATGGTTCTGCGAATAGTGTTGGAGCAATAAACAGCTATTTAACACACTTTGCACGTTAAACAAAAGCGAAACAAAATATTGTTTCAAGGTCAATGCATGAACCCAGTCTGCATTTGAGGCCAGAGTGCAACTACAATCTAGCTATAATTCTCACAGGCACATCCTATAAAAGGACGAAATACGATAAAAATACGCCTCGCTGTTTAAAGCCTAGATTATCACCTTCATGAGCATTTTGCTGCATTTTAAGCCAGGCTTCTATTTTTTACTCACCTTTTCCTTACAATCAAGTATAATATGTTTGGAGGTTCTTCAACTGAAGAATCAAGCATGGTCTGGTTCACAACACCTTATGTCTTTGGCTATTCCGCAATTATGTTTTTATTAAAAATGATACCATGTTTATCCATAGTTAATAGAGGGAAATGGTTAGGAAGGCCGGTAAATATCACAGAAGCAGACAAACAGGCTAAGATTTATGTTGGAAGGCCCTTGACCCTGCACATCTTTTGTATTGTATTAATTACTTTTCAGTTATTTCATGTAAAGATCCAGGAAGTCCTTTACATGGACGACAATCGAAAGTCAAAAAGAACTTTACTGTCGGCGGATTCGTGCGATTTAAGTGCAGTGAAAACTACACCATGGTGGGAAGCGGCAAACTAACTTGTCTCAAAAGCAAGAAGTGGAATAGAGAAATACCGAAGTGCTTAGGTAAACCTTTTGTAATAAATACAATCTCAACTGTGCAATTTGTTTTAACCCCTCTCATCCCGGAAATCAGTCTAAGGGTGGACTGTCCCTTCCTGAATTTAACCATTTACAACTTTGTCAATATTTGATTTAAAAACTTTGCGATTTAGTCGAAAATTTGTCTGTATGCTATTTGGGATGGCATGATTTTATTCAAGGAAGTTCATATAACCATGACAACCCTATTTCAAATTGTGAATGTTTATTCTGGTGCTCTTTTCTATAAACGTAATAATCTTTTCATACTCTGATTCATTTTCATGTTTCACAGCATCCTGCCCTGATCCCGGTCATCCAGAAAATGGACAAACCATTGGAAGAGTTTTTAATCATACCTCAGTTGTCGAGTTTGAATGTTTGGGAGATCGCTTGTTACAAGGTTCCTCTCAGGCAAAATGCAACAATGGGCAGTGGGACCAAGCATTGTCAACATGCCGAGGTAACTTATTAACCAATGATAACTAAATATACTTTTCTTTTCCCTCCAATATATGATTTTTTTTAAAATTTATTTACTTAAGTACCTGGTCATAAAAGGCGTCCAGACCCAGTGCTTCGTTACTCCCTGCTCAATAGCGTACTTCATACAATTTTGATTTGGAATTTGAGTTAGAATTCCAAGTTAGAGTAAGCATTGCAAGACGGACATTTTTGGTCTAATTTCAAAGAAGACTGTTCCCAAATCCGAGGAAAGAATCTGCGCTTTTAAACGTATTTAAACCGTTTGTCAGCCAGTCCATTGATAATTATAAGATTTCGTGCACTTGCATTCAGTGATCCATCTGCACATCCATCTTTACGTTTTCCCGTCCATTGCTTTTTGTACGTTTATATATAAGTTTCCTCAGACTTTGTCCTTGCGGAGCTCTAAAATTGGATTATTCGATATAAACTCTTTCTTTAGCCTATCCCTGCAAATTAATCAGTTTCTCGCCTGTGTACAATAATGTGTCCTCTGATTGATCTCTTAGGTTACGTGCCCCTGTGTGGTTAATTTGCCTTTGATTCTGCTATCATTCTGCTATCATTCTAATGTATTTGTGCTGGAGTTTTAGAGGCTCATATTAGTGTTATTTCAATATTTAAGATTGTGGCACAGGGCTTCCTCTTGGAATGGAAAGTAGAAAGATCCCAGACGCATTCATCAAAGCTTCCAGTCATAGAGATAAACATCCAGCTCATCATGGCCGACTTGGTGGAGGCAACTATTGGTGCTCAGAGGAGGGAAAAGCCGATTTTATTCAGATTGACTTACCAAAAAAATACAAGATTACTGGAGCAAGAATTCAACTCAAAAGCAAATACAAGATCAAAAGTATAATCTTGAGACGCCAAATTTTCAAAAAGTGGTGGAATTTCCACCATGAAAAGGTTAAATTTCCTTTATCATTTGTAGAAAACACAAACTACACAATTCTTAAATGAGAACGACATAAATGTAAACGAGAAAAAAGCGAATAAAAAAAAAACAAGACCAAACATTCTCGACTTTTCGAATTTTTACACGTCTAAACATCGTGACTTAGTCACTAGTCTTAAACGCAAACTCGTGCTCTATATAATAGTTAAATAAACACGATAAATGAGAATAGCAGAACACATCAACTTTATTACAATATAGGACCTGGCGTATCGTATTCGTCAAAAGAGAGAGAAGAAGGAAGGAAGGAAAAAGGGGAGGTAGGGAGTAGTAAAGAGAAATGGACCCAAATGATAGTTGTAATCGAATGCTGGAAATTGTTTATCTTTGTAAAATCAATCCATTTTAAAGACATTGCAAAGAAATTTCAACAGACTTTTCACTTCTAATATTTGTATTTGGTTTTATCTGACAGCCACCTTATAATGAAGAAGAGGAACAAATAAAAGAAATACATCCATTTATTGCTCAGTCTGTACGAATCAGAGTGTTAAGAGATACAAAGGAATCGATTTGTCTAAGAGCCGAAGTCTATGGCTGTGGAATTCCCAAAGGTAAGAGTCTATAATCTATTAACGAAGACAAAGACTTGTATATATGACCCTGAGGCCTTCTTTATCCTACGACCGCTTTACCAACTTTGATGGAAGTGTGGTGAAGCAATTAGGAGACGTAGTGGAGATTTCAACATCGGAAGACTACTCGCTTTCACATTTGAGATATTTTGAGAGTACACACTGATACATGCATAACTCCTCCCCCTAAGTAAGCAATCCTTCCGTACAAACTATTAAACTTTTTTTTTTCTAATAAGTCAAGCCTTGACGCTCGGATCAACTAGGCTCATTGCATGTCTTACTTTTTGTAGGTTGTATCATGCGAGGCTCTGCTATTCTTATCAAGGAAAACGGTAGATATCAGCACAGATTTGTAGGAGAATATATCGATGTGGAGTATAACCTTCTGGAAGTCCTTCCTCCCGGGAAAAAAAGGAGCATAATAATGAATAGGGATCATGTGATTCTAGATGAGAAACCAAGCGTCCAAGACTTAGCTATTGGAACCTTAGTCCTTGGAGAGGATGCAACTTCACCAGGCCAAATTAGAAAGGGTAAAATAGAGCAAATATCAAATTCAGTTTGTACCATAAAAAGTAACNTGTTCCGCTAAAGCTGACTTATGCGAGTGTTTGTTTACAACCGCTTTTTGATGTTCCCTGAGCCGGGTGGAAAATTTTCGTTTCATTTCCCCGATGTAGCTCTTATTTCCTTGACAGGGAATGGAATAAGTTGCGCCACGAGTCTGATCTTTCGGGATCTTTACTAAACTGGGGGTATCTTTGACCCTTTTTAACTTTAAAATCGTTAAAACAGCCAGCTCCAAATTTGCTGACTTTTCCTAGAATGGTGCTTAAACAACGTTCAATTTTTGATCTTTTCAATCAGTACCATCTTGTGGCCCTCCGGAACTTCCGAAAAATTCTGAGCTACGAGGATCTAAGAAATCTTCATACAAGTACTCGGAAAAAGTATTCCTCAGGTGCAAGAGTGGGTACTTCTCCACAGGGATAGGACTGCTGAGTTGTAGCTTGGAAGGATGGACTGGCCCTTCTTTTACTTGCTCACGTATGTCTAAAACTAATTTTGTCAAACGTGTTTAGTTATAATTCTTTGTGGTTTAGAACAGGGTTTCAGTGATATGAAACAAAACAAACTTATCTCATGTAGAACTCCTTCAAACCGAGGGATTCTGACAATTCAAGCTCTGGAGACGTAGGACGACCTGTCTGAGAAGCATGTAGTGTCCCTGTTTCAATGGCTGCCACTGGATTGACACGTTGCGCTCGAGTAAAGAACCAATCACAAGCAGTTGCCTAGAACCCTGAAATTTATAAAGCGCAAATTTCTTTGTCATGATTTGAATGTAGTAGTAGAACGTTGTGATACAAGGGAGCGAAATTAATGAAATTCATACTTACAATTCCAGCTAGACTTATTACTTTTATGTTAGACATGTCTTCAATATTGTTTAAGGCTGTTTATATCGATTGTTAAATAAACTCTCTAAATAAATGTTCTTCCACATACCTCGTGCCAGGGAATAACGGTGTCCCCAGAGATATCTCTAAAATAACAACGATGAACACTGTTATATTTTCTTTCTCAGCAAAAAGTTGTGGAAACCCTGGGATCCCTGAAAACGGAAAGCTGAAGTCTTACATCTTTACCTTCAAAAGCAGAGTCGATTTTGATTGTAATCATGGTTACAAACTGGTCGGAGACAAGTACCGGCAATGCCAAGCGAACCAGAGGTGGACTGGGAGGTCGCCAACCTGTGAACGTAAATACATTGACGATGTTACTTTACAGCGTTCAAGGTCAAAGTGATAGAGTTGTCAGCGTGGCTAGTCTAACCTCATTTTTTTGCGTGTGTGTTTTGAATTTATTTCATTTTGCCTATAGTTGCAAAAAACATTTCTACGGTATTTTGTTGTCGCTGCTGCTGCTGATGTTGTTATTTTGAAAGTTACAAGAAAATCAATCTTATTTTGTTTTTTGTTGTATCTTGAAAGAGATTTTTACACAAAATTATAGTAATTTTAAGCTAGTTGAACGAATAACTCCTGTTTACAAGTAACTAATTCTGTAATATAAAATTTATACGTTTAATTCTGTCTCTTACTTTTTCCCCCCAAGAAATTGACTGTGGAGTGCTACCAACCCCTGATAAGGCTGAAAAAATTCTCGAAACCCACACGAAAGTCGATGGTGTCGTCAGGTTTAAGTGTAAGGAGACAGGTTACGAGATCAGTGGCTCAGAGATCCGGACTTGTGGCAATAATGGGTTGTGGAGTGGATCTCCAACATCTTGTAACAGTAAGTAGGAATATATTTATATATTAACAAGTTTTATTTTCTTCAGTCAATATCTGCATTTACCATAAGACATTATACATGTTAACTTTTATTGAGATAATACATTGTTCGTGGCTAGTCTGACGCAGCGCTTTCGTTTCGCCCCAGCCAAGGACCTTTCTGCTTGGAAACTTGTTGAGCATTGCGAGTATGCCGAGCAGAAATTTCTCTGAAGAGTCCCTTGGCCGGGGCGAATCAAAGCGATGCGTCAGACTAGCCACCAAATGTATTATCACAAGTAACTGTCAACGTTTATTGCCAACTTTTATTGTACGTGAGTAAAGGAGCTTAAAGGTGCCCCTCGTTGGTGCTCAGTACCAATGTCATGATTACGCTACGAGTTTCGGTGATTTACAACCCAACGTAATACGTGCACGAAATTGTACCTATGCATGAAAGCGAATGAATATCGAAGGTGTCAATTTCTGTGACAACAGGCCATGTCAGTGACTTTTTGTACAAGTCTCTCCATGTTACCAACTTATCTCTTCACAGTCGTAAGTTGTGGTGATCCAGGTACTCCTCTAAACGGTCAACAAGCTGACGTGAAAAATGGTTACAACTATGGTGGTTCAGTGAAATTTACTTGTAAAGATAACTACACGCTGTCAGGAAAAAGCGAGATCGTTTGCGAAGAAACGAAAGATTGGAGTTCGCCAACACCAAAATGCTGGGGTGAGTCAAAACGGACCTTAGATTGCTTTGGGTTCATTAATGGGGTTGAAGGAATCATCCGCCGTAAAGCTTCATTGCCGGCACGCAAAAAGACATTAGGATATAAGTACAAATGGATGACTAACCAGGGTTAGAAGTAATGCAAACAACTAAAATGGCTATCTGGTTAAAAGTTACCAGAGTAAGTGACTCATTTTTATCAACACTTTTAACACTTTTAACACTCATAATACATTCGTACCTTCCGTACTATTTGTCGAAGCTGTAGCCTGATAGCCGAAAGCTTATTTTTAGAAAACTTTTAACCATAGAGTTTATATTTTCAATACCTAGCGTATGGCCAATTAAACGCGATTGGATTGAGCTTTAGCTCTTTGCTAGCACAGATATAGTAATCTCAAGTTTAATTCAAAGAGACAACGGTTTTGGTGGTGGGGTCTGCACAGCTTGCGCTCCGACGTCTTTAAACTTATTGCTTGTTTTTTACCGACAACACTTAAAAAGACCAAGTATTGACGTTCAATATATAATGCAATTTTAGCTCCATGTCCTGATCCCGGAGTGCCAGGCAATGGAAACAGAAGCGGAGATGACTTTATACACGCTAAATCGGTAACCTTTAGATGCAACGAGAATTATGAACTTGAAGGAGAAGCAACCATCAGCTGTAACAATGGAGGCTGGACAAGTAAAACACCCACGTGCAAAGGTGTGTACATCTAGAATGCAAATGGTTCTGCGAATAGTGTTGGAGCAATAAACAGCTATTTAACACACTTTGCACGTTAAACAAAAGCGAAACAAAATATTGTTTCAAGGTCAATGCATGAACCCAGTCTGCATTTGAGGCCAGAGTGCAACTACAATCTAGCTATAATTCTCACAGGCACATCCTATAAAAGGACGAAATACGATAAAAATACGCCTCGCTGTTTAAAGCCTAGATTATCACCTTCATGAGCATTTTGCTGCATTTTAAGCCAGGCTTCTATTTTTTACTCACCTTTTCCTTACAATCAAGTATAATATGTTTGGAGGTTCTTCAACTGAAGAATCAAGCATGGTCTGGTTCACAACACCTTATGTCTTTGGCTATTCCGCAATTATGTTTTTATTAAAAATGATACCATGTTTATCCATAGTTAATAGAGGGAAATGGTTAGGAAGGCCGGTAAATATCACAGAAGCAGACAAACAGGCTAAGATTTATGTTGGAAGGCCCTTGACCCTGCACATCTTTTGTATTGTATTAATTACTTTTCAGTTATTTCATGTAAAGATCCAGGAAGTCCTTTACATGGACGACAATCGAAAGTCAAAAAGAACTTTACTGTCGGCGGATTCGTGCGATTTAAGTGCAGTGAAAACTACACCATGGTGGGAAGCGGCAAACTAACTTGTCTCAAAAGCAAGAAGTGGAATAGAGAAATACCGGAGTGCTTAGGTAAACCTTTCGTAATAAATACAATCTCAACTGTGCAATTTGTTTTAACCCCTCTCATCCCGGAAATCAGTCTAAGGGTGGACTGTCCCTTCCTGAATTTAACCATTTACAACTTTGTCAATATTTGATTTAAAAACTTTGCGATTTAGTCGAAAATTTGTCTGTATGCTATTTGGGATGGCATGATTTTATTCAAGGAAGTTCATATAACCATGACAACCCTATTTCAAATTGTGAATGTTTATTCTGGTGCTCTTTTCTATAAACGTAATAATCTTTTCATACTCTGATTCATTTTCATGTTTCACAGCATCCTGCCCTGATCCCGGTCATCCAGAAAATGGACAAACCATTGGAAGAGTTTTTAATCATACCTCAGTTGTCGAGTTTGAATGTTTGGGAGATCGCTTGTTACAAGGTTCCTCTCAGGCAAAATGCAACAATGGGCAGTGGGACCAAGCATTGTCAACATGCCGAGGTAACTTATTAACCAATGATAACTAAATATACTTTTCTTTTCCCTCCAATATATGATTTTTTTTAAAATTTATTTACTTAAGTACCTGGTCATAAAAGGCGTCCAGACCCAGTGCTTCGTTACTCCCTGCTCAATAGCGTACTTCATACAATTTTGATTTGGAATTTGAGTTAGAATTCCAAGTTAGAGTAAGCATTGCAAGACGGACATTTTTGGTCTAATTTCAAAGAAGACTGTTCCCAAATCCGAGGAAAGAATCTGCGCTTTTAAACGTATTTAAACCGTTTGTCAGCCAGTCCATTGATAATTATCAGATTTCGTGCACTTGCATTCAGTGATCCATCTGCACATCCATCTTTACGTTTTCCCGTCCATTGCTTTTTGTACGTTTATATTTACGTTTCCTCTGACTTTGTCCTTGCGGAGCTCTATAATTGGATTATTCGATATAAACTCTTTCTTTAGCCTATCCCTGCAAATTAATCAGTTTCTCGCCTGTGTACAATAATGTGTCCTCTGATTGATCTCTTAGGTTACGTGCCCCTGTGTGGTTAATTTGCCTTTGATTCTGCTATCATTCTGCTATCATTCTAATGTATTTGTGCTGGAGTTTTAGAGGCTCATATTAGTGTTATTTCAATATTTAAGATTGTGGCACAGGGCTTCCTCTTGGAATGGAAAGTAGAAAGATCCCAGACGCATTCATCAAAGCTTCCAGTCATAGAGATAAACATCCAGCTCATCATGGCCGACTTGGTGGAGGCAACTATTGGTGCTCAGAGGAGGGAAAAGCCGATTTTATTCAGATTGACTTACCAAAAAAATACAAGATTACTGGAGCAAGAATTCAACTCAAAAGCAAATACAAGATCAAAAGTATAATCTTGAGACGCCAAATTTTCAAAAAGTGGTGGAATTTCCACCATGAAAAGGTTAAATTTCCTTTATCATTTGTAGAAAACACAAACTACACAATTCTTAAATGAGAACGACATAAATGTAAACGAGAAAAAAGCGAATAAAAAAAAAACAAGACCAAACATTCTCGACTTTTCGAATTTTTACACGTCTAAACATCGTGACTTAGTCACTAGTCTTAAACGCAAACTCGTGCTCTATATAATAGTTAAATAAACACGATAAATGAGAATAGCAGAACACATCAACTTTATTACAATATAGGACCTGGCGTATCGTATTCGTCAAAAGAGAGAGAAGAAGGAAGGAAGGAAAAAGGGGAGGTAGGGAGTAGTAAAGAGAAATGGACCCAAATGATAGTTGTAATCGAATGCTGGAAATTGTTTATCTTTGTAAAATCAATCCATTTTAAAGACATTGCAAAGAAATTTCAACAGACTTTTCACTTCTAATATTTGTATTTGGTTTTATCTGACAGCCACCTTATAATGAAGAAGAGGAACAAATAAAAGAAATACATCCATTTATTGCTCAGTCTGTACGAATCAGAGTGTTAAGAGATACAAAGGAATCGATTTGTCTAAGAGCCGAAGTCTATGGCTGTGGAATTCCCAAAGGTAAGAGTCTATAATCTATTAACGAAGACAAAGACTTGTATATATGACCCTGAGGCCTTCTTTATCCTACGACCGCTTTACCAACTTTGATGGAAGTGTGGTGAAGCAATTAGGAGACGTAGTGGAGATTTCAACATCGGAAGACTACTCGCTTTCACATTTGAGATATTTTGAGAGTACACACTGATACATGCATAACTCCTCCCCCTAAGTAAGCAATCCTTCCGTACAAACTATTAAACTTTTTTTTTTCTAATAAGTCAAGCCTTGACGCTCGGATCAACTAGGCTCATTGCATGTCTTACTTTTTGTAGGTTGTATCATGCGAGGCTCTGCTATTCTTATCAAGGAAAACGGTAGATATCAGCACAGATTTGTAGGAGAATATATCGATGTGGAGTATAACCTTCTGGAAGTCCTTCCTCCCGGGAAAAAAAGGAGCATAATAATGAATAGGGATCATGTGATTCTAGATGAGAAACCAAGCGTCCAAGACTTAGCTATTGGAACCTTAGTCCTTGGAGAGGATGCAACTTCACCAGGCCAAATTAGAAAGGGTAAAATAGAGCAAATATCAAATTCAGTTTGTACCATAAAAAGTAACCATGAAATTTGGAAGAGTGATTTAAACAAGATTCGTATCGTCAAAAGATCAGCGTTTTGCTCACAATAAATATTTTGTATTAATGCCACTGTGCCCAGGCTAACGGCAGGACTACTCGATGGCAAAACGTACAGATTTATGAAGTCTGTTGTCACTATGTATAGACATGTTAGCGAAAACACGATAGCGACAACATTAAAGATAAAGATCTTACAACCAAGAATTAGACACATCTGTCTTTTATAATGCGGTTGGCATGGTAAGGTATAGTAGACATTCTTCTCCCTTCCCCCTCCCTCAAAGATTGATAAACAGCCACTGAACAATGTAGCCCAGGAAGGTACTTGGTTTTTGAATGGTTTCTCGCGCCATGACAGTTTTGACAGTATATTAGTGTAGCGAAGTCTCGTGTGACTTCTTTCCAGCACAGAGAACCTAAACATACGAATACACAGCTACAGTTGAGAATTTTGAACCATTTGTGTATAAAAAAAAAAAAGAACAAAAGAATTAAACAAAACGGGATTAGAGGTGCAAGGTCATTTTTTTCGTATAAAACCGTTAGGGTTGCTCCTCTCAACTAATCATAGATCATCTAGGCGGTTCAGAAAAATTCACAGGTTTTTGTGAGATGTTACCCTTCGGATGTGACCTTAGCAGCTTTGAAAAATAGGATAAATAACCAATTAAACCTTTTCCATCATACCTTTAAAGCTACACGTTCTTAGAAAACAAAAAGATATGTCATCTACGATACCTCATGAAGCAAAAGAAAACGACAAACAATAATAGCAACAACAGCAACAATTGCTTGAAACTGCCTGCATTCTTCTCCTAAAGATATAGTTGTATTAATTTTTTTTTTTTTTTTGTTTTCTGGTGTTAACAGGAAGTGGAGGAGATGAAGTTAGAAATGGAAGAACTGAAGAATGAAGTCTCTAATGTAGACCAACAAGTAAGAAAACTAGTCCGGCGGAACTCCGATCTNAGAGCTTTGTATGCCAGCGAGCTATATCTAACTGCAGACAGTACTGTTTCGGCCTTTTATCCTATTTTTCAAAGCTGCTAAGGTTAAACGAACAAAACGGGATGAGAGGTGCAAGGTCGTTTTTTTCGTATAAAACAGTTAGGGATCGTCCTCTCGACTAATCATAGATCATCTAGGTGGCTCAGAAAAAATTCACAGGTTGTTGTGAGATGTTACCCTTCGGATGTAACCTTAGCAGCTTTGAAAAATAGGATAAATAACCAATTAAACCTTTTGCATCATACCTTTAAAGCTACACGTTCTTAGAAAACAAAAAGATACGTCATCGATGCTACCACATAAAGCAAAATAAAACGACAAACAATAATAAAAACAACAGCAACAATTGATTTTCTTATTATAGTTGCAGTCAACTATTTTGTTGACCCGTCACGGTTCATCCCTTAACTTCGTATTTATGATGGCAAGCTGGCTAGAAATACTGTTAAGCACCTAATTAACGGTTTAGCAACATGGCCGACTAGACATAGTTGTGGTCACGACAGCCTCATAATAAGAGATTTCTCAATGGAGTGCAGGCAAAGGGACTTTTTAGTGTGTCCAGGAACGGGATTATGTTCTCATAACAAATTCTTTCCAAAGTATAGCGAAAAATGTTTCCTCACCATACATTCTTGCTAGCCAGTTAAGCTATGCGACNTATAGCGAAAAATGTTTCCACACCATACATTCTTGCTAGCCAGTTAAGCTATGCGACATATGCAGAAAAAGGAGATTTGAGGTGTTTAGTTCCTAAACATTTCAGCAATGTTCAGTCTACAAATTCGATAAGTGGATTAATATTTAAATTGAGATGGAGACATTTGAACGAGAAAACCAGTCATCAAAACCACTTATTACAATTAGGGAACTTGCCAAACGCTGATAGAATATGGTAGAATGCAGTCGAATAGTCGAATTCAACCTGTTAGCTCCTCCCCTAGTTCTGCCATTAGGGGACTTAAGCACGCCCGTTTTTGAGGCGCGGACGGTAGCCGGAAGTGAGCTACTTTCACTTTTAACTTGTCCTCGCACAACCATATTCACATTGCTAAGTATCTTTTCTTCATTAGAGATGAGTAGTATAAAAAATCTGGGAGACAATACGGTCCTAGCATGCGAAATCTTCTCTTCCGGCTGCCGTCCGCGTCCCAAAAACGCGCGTGCTTAAGCTCCCTATTGAATTCGAACAGCGACTGACAGCCACCAAGAACCAGGCTAACTGAAATAGATTAAACTCTATTGCTGTAAAAAAAAAAAAAAATCGTAACGGATGGAGAGTTAGGCAATACAGATATACAAACCACTATTTAGGTTCTATTTGATCCTGCGGTGTTTCTTAAAAGGGAATGACATTTTTTCATCTTTTTCGACAGCCTGTCTTGTATTAGTCATCAGTATGTGAATCAAAGAGTGCTATTAAATAAAGTAGACCTTTCATTTTGTCTATTTTTTAATCTTTGACCTGAAATCGTCGACTATTTGACAACCGTTGGATTTCAGAGTATGTGCTCGGGGAGTTCCGTAAATGAATTTTTAATGAATCTGTCACTCCCTCTAAAACTGGATTAGCTGGACTGATGGCGTTTTCTCCAAATTGAAGAATTCCACAATGACTACTTGTGAGTCACTGCTGGTTCAAACTGTCCACTGGTGAAGTGGTTGAAGTGTTCTAATAATTGAATTATTTTCAGTAAATTTTTTGCCCTGAACTCAAATTCCTATTGCTGTTGTTTTTTATTTTGTTTTCTTTTGTTTTGTTTTGTTTTGTTTTTTTTGAATTTATTCTTCTCTTTTTTATTTTATTTTGGAAACCGATACTGAGCTTTTCCTACGGGCAACATTTCCCATAACAAAAATAAAACTTTCACCAAGCAGGCCTCGAATAAATCATACTTAAATCTGTAACACTTTTAACTGAAGGTGCTTTTGCTGGATATTACAAGCTTCAGCCATCTGACGGTCAAGTCGGAGTTGTAAAACGCAGAGGGTTAGCAAGAAACAGCGAGGGCAGGGTCCTGTCGATAACTTAACTCCTCCCCCTAAGTAAGCAATCCTTCCTTACAAACTCTTAAACTTAAACCGGGCTTTAAAACCGATCACTCTCTTATTACTTTGTCTCTTGGCACTAAAACAAACCCCAGAGGACCAGGTTTCTGGAAGTTGAACAGCCACTTTCTAAAGGATCTTGAATATTTTAACCTTATCAAAGAAACCATGAATGTAGTGTCAAATGATTACAAAGAGGACGAGTCAGTAGACGCGATCCTTTTATGGGATGTGATGAAAATGCAAATAAGGGCAGTTGCCATTAAATATGCAAAACAACTAAAGGTAAAACAAAAACGAACTGAGAAGACCCTGGAGACCAAGATTTTAATGCTTGAATACAAGCTTGAAAATAACATAATTTAATTATTTTCAATAACTTTTTTGCCCTGAACTCAAATTCCTATTGTTGTTGTTGTTGTTGTTTTTTTTCTTTTTGAATTTATTCTTCTCTTTTTTTTTATTTTGGAAACCGATATTGAACTTTTCCTATGGGCAACATTTCCCATAACAAAAATAAAACTTTCACGGCAGCAGGCCTCGAATAAATCATACTTAAATCTGTAACACTTTTAACTGAAGCTGCTTTTGCTGGATATTACAAGCTTCAGCCATCTAACGGTCAAGTCGGAGTTGTAAAACGCGGAGGGCAGGGTCCTGTCGATACTTTAGCCTCGTGCACTCTCACTCCGCCAGACGCTATTTTCGTCTCTCGTAAATCCTTCCCTGTTTTCTCTCTCAGTTAAAATGTTCGTTACGTTTGATGCTATCGTCCATCGAGCATTTTGGATTGCTCAACACGAAAGAACCATTCTCCCGGCTGGTATAGTGAACCTTGCAGAGAGGGTCGCGCGAATGCAAGAACGTGCAAAGGTAACCTCGCTACCTTCACTGAAGGTGACGTCATAGACCCCCCGAATGGCTCAAACGTAGGTGTAAGAGTAAATCCGCTTGTCTGTCTATTTGTGCTCTACTGCTGCATTCTGTGCTAACATCAGAAGCCATCAGAGAAGAAGGTTTGCGAAAGGTGTGTGAAAGTGCAAAGCAACTGCTTGTCTTTTGCTCACAATTTATTTTAACGATCAGGTAAGAAAGTAAGATTACACTTAACATATTTGTTATTTAATGCAGTTGATATTACCTTGTCCAGCAGTATCACTTCTGGAAGTCATCAAAATCTGTCTAACTATTGACACAATTTCAGTAGATATTGCAGACTAAAACATGTCAAAATCCATACCCTCTAACCATAGCCCATTAAAGTAGCAACCCATATCCCTCAGAGAGGACAATGAATTGTGCTTAGAACCTGTATGGTCTCTCCAGGACCGTTAGGAAGGTTTTGACGGATATATGGTACAGCGAACCATTTGTATTTATAACTGTCACTGACAAACATTCCAAATAGGAGGTCAACAAATTTATCGGACTTAACCCCACCAAAAATAAACCAAAAATGTAACTGACAGTAGCCGACAAAAGTCAGAAGGCCCAAATTAGAAGCCGACAACTGAAATCATGCCCCCCACTTAGACACTCTAGTAAAATTGAAATGATGGCAACTCGATCTTTTGTTTTTGGCGGTGTTGTATGAAAGAAAGAAAAGTATCACATTTGAATGACCTTTATAGTTGATATCTACAGTGGATCAGTTTTGTATTGCTACAAAAAAAATAATAATAATAATAAAACAAAACGCAGCAATCAAAGTATTTAAATAAACACTAGTGCTTTAATTTTGGCTGTCTGACAAAACTTGTTATAAAGCTCCTCAGCCTTACGCAATCCAACGGTATCGCGGTTTTAATCTCCTAATTCTTCCTCTCGTGCCATTTCCCCCCTTTATAGAAAAAAAAAAAAAAAAAAAA